AAAACTCGCTCGAGGAAAGGGGGATATCTCGTTGCCGTCGCGCTCTCGTCGTCGTCGTCGATTCGTTCTAATTATTAACCGATAAAGCTTGATTTACAATTATGTTTTTCCGTCGCAAGGATTTTTCTTATCTCGCGTATACGAGTGCACTCCTGATCTTAGATCGCGAATAAATCGATCGGTGATAGTTCAACGATATATATAGAGAGAGCAAATGATATCGGCGTAACCAGTTTTATCGTAATTTCCTCGTGCTGGAACAGCGACACGGATTTTCGTCGTGTCTACCCCGAAGGAAAGGCTGTCGGTCTGTCGATTGATGAAAAAATGCGTTTTTCTTTCTTCTGTTTCGCCTGTAGGCTTGCAAAATTCAGTGTCGTCGAATTTGTCGTCGGTGGACATGGCGTCACTGGCGGCGGCAATGAGAATGGGAAACAACGGTGACATGAGCGGCGGTGCGCAAGGATCAACGGGACCGCAACAGCAAGGAGTGCAAACAACCGGACCAGAACAAACTCTGAGGATGCATCAGGCGGAAGCCTTGTTGCGTTCGCAGGCTGAAGCCGCGCTTAGACTGGCTGTAAGTAGAATCTCTCCTTTTCCCATCCACGATCTCCAACGAGACAAACGCCCAGGCACGTGATAAAAAAATACTCAACGAACGTTCCACGCGTTTTGTGATATCAGGTGTCGCAGGCAGCAGCGGCTGCGGCCAGTTCCGCGGTTGGCGGAGACGTGAGGCATCATTTGGGACAGCATAACGGAGGTAGTACCTCCGGTATGCCTGGACACCATACGAACCAACAGATGTCTCAGCAAGACACATTACCGCCTGACCTTGGTGAGTTCAATCTTTCAACGTCTAGCTGTACTATTCTATATCACTTCAACTATGATCTCGATTAGTTTTATGACGTATCACTTTCCTACTTTTCCAAACAAGCGAGCGATTTCACCAGAACCGAAGATCCTACGATGATAAACGATTTACGCTCCACAGGGGAAGCGCTGCGATTACAAGAACAGCGATTAGAACAAGCCCTGAGGCTTCACGGTGATCCTCGAGCCTTAAGTTTCACTCTCCAGCACGTCGTCAATCAGCAGAACAATCAGCAACCATGAAAATTCAGTTACTACTGAGACGAGTGGACCCCTTGGACGTCAGATCAGACGAGCCTTCAGCAAGCTGAACGTCTCAATCAGCAACAATCATTGCAAATAACTGAGCTTCCAGCAACTCTCAACGAGCAACAGCAGCAAGGTTCGTCTGGTATCGGTCTTCATCCTCATCAACAACAACAACAGCAGCAGCAGCAGCAACAACAGCAGCAACAGCAACAGCAGCAGCAGCAGCATCCTGAAGACCGTGGTGTCAAGAGGAAGGCCGACGAGATGATCGGTAACTCTGACAACGTGTAAAGAACGACGTACATCGACGATAAACCGTCAGAACAGTTTGTCGTTTTCTACGTCAGTTCCACAACACAGGCGTCCAAGTGTGGTCACCCGCGAAATCACTCCTGTCTCAGCAGTAGAAACGAATTATTCGAATAACGAGGCCCTCTCCGTGGGGTCTTTCAAATCTAACCATTTTCACTGTGGCCGACGATTCACGTTCAGGAAATATGTTCGTTATGGTCGATGCGATAGTGAAAATTGAACACTTCTGTCTGATCCGTCAGAGGGGAGTAGAAAACGGTCATACGTATCTAGAAATCCGTTAGACGGTGCGTGATAAGGTGCAGCAGTGGCAATGATCATTCTAGCAGCACGCGATTCTTTCGCGTGGATCACGTTGTTCCTATACTTCGGTCCTGGGATTCAGAGTTCCTAGAACGGCAAAGCTCGCCGAACGAGAAGGTCCTCGCCCGTTTCGAGAGAGAGAAAAAGAAAAAAAAAAAACAAACGAAATAACCGAGCTTCTTCTTACTCGTGTGTGTAGTGAAAAAACGATCGTCGATTTTCTCTTTCGCGCGGTATTCATTGTTTCGTCGAGTCGCTCTTCGAGAATTCACAGGACGGACATTGTCATTCTCGTGGCTGCACCGAATCACCCCTGAGACGTGCCATAATAATATTGAAATGAAACTGCATACCGACACGTTCACGCTGGTCTACGAACTTGCCCTTTTCTAATCGAAACGAGGGGACGGTGACTTGCCAGGTGACGTAGAGAGTACTATATGGTTTTCTTGTTAGTACAAGAGCCGAACTCATAGACCTGTGACCTGTGTCGCGATTACGGATGAACTTGTCAACTCCTGGATCCGACCTGGCTCTATAGGCTCTAGGCTCAACAAACTAAACTATATATATATATACATATATACAAAAAAAAAGAAAAACAAAACCAATTTAAGGTTCCCTTAATCTTAGCTCCCGTAACGTTTAAGGCAGGAAACATGGAGAACACACGCGTCTGATAATACGTGCGTAAACGCGGTCAGGTGGATCAGCTAATCCTCGTACGTTCGTTAATTATATACGTACCGCATCCCCCTTCCCGTTTCACGGACAAACGCGAAGAATATGTTTAACAAGACGGACGGTTTGATCCGCGGTATCGACGTGGCGGCTCGCGACCACGAATGGCATCGTCTCGTTCGAACCGCCCGCGATGCTCTACATTAGTGATACATGTACACAAGAAAGGAGAAGAAACACACGAAGAAGAGAACGTTGTTGTTTCACACACACACGCACAAACGCACATACATACACACGTATATACACAAGAAGCGACAAACTGAAGAGAAGAAGGGAAAAGGATACCTACATACACATATACACGCACACATGATATATATATACAAATATATATAATATACACACGTACAGACACAATGAACAAATAAATACACGTATACATACACGCGAAAACTACTCGATGTAAGGATAGAGAACAAAAAAAAAAAAATGCGCGTAACATGTGCTGGTCGACAGCACGAAAACTATTAGCTCGTAAGCGAACAAACAAAATATAATTATTACAAACAGTTATATTATATATATTATATATACATACAGAGAGAGTCTGGAGTGTATGATGGATACAAAAAAAAAAAAACGAAAAATAAGCGTGAGGGGACGTTTTGGGACGGGTCCGAGAAGGAAATAAACGGGCCCCGTCCACGTCGCCCCGCACCGTAATCTGTACACGTGCACATTTTCAAGAGAATCGTGAGAAGAGTGTACGAGGCATTTTTTTCGTGAAACACAAGCCAGAGAATTAGAATGCTGACGAAGAAGAACGAGAAAAAAAGAAATGAGAAAATGAGGGTCTATGAGACTAGGATAAATTAGGCGAAAGAGAAAATCGAATGAATGCGGAGCGCGTGCCCGGGCAGTGGTACACGGTCCCAAGCGAACGCCGACTGAAGAGCGAATGAAAGACGTGTACGTACTACGGTGGATCGAAAGTGGTGCCAGAGAAACACGGGAGAATCGGAGAGCGAGTGAGAGAGAGTGGGTGCGTGTGTGCGTGACCGCGCGGAAGTGTGAGAGAGAGAGAGCGGACGTGTAAGATTTTTGTGAATGAACGACCTTGGGATTGTCGCGTACGTGCACGGGCACGCGACTGAATGAAAGAGGAGCCGAGCGAAAGAGAATGCTTCGTGAGCATCAAGGAGGAGAGAATGCGAGAATGGAGCGACTGAGAAGATTTTAGAGTGGCGTGCTTCAGGTAATCTGAGGTCCTGTGATCGTTATAAGCGAAATATTTTTTTATTTCCGGGTAATATATCTGAACGCGTAAAAATACTTGCGTCGTTTCGAACTTTTACTTGCAATATACCGTTACGTTCTCGCAATACTTAGAAAGAAGAAGAATAAGAAGAAGACGAAGACGAATATGAAGATGAGGAAGAAGTTAAAGAGGGAGGAAGCAGAACAGAGGTGGATTAATTTAAAGGAGAGAAACGAAACAAAAGTCAAATAAATGCGAAAAATGAGGATGACGAGGGAGAGGAGGAGAAGATGAAGAATATAGAAAGTCCCGTAGGTTTTATCACCGTGGAGCGAACTTTTCTTTAGAGACTCGGGCCAGCCCTTTTGCCCCCTTCGGAACACCACTCTTTGTGATACCCCGTCAATCTCTCGATTCCCCCTTTTTCCGACCTTTTATATGAAAAAACTCCTGGACTGTCCGTACTTTTCGATGGGGTTTCTGCATTCGAACGAGACCAGACGAGATGAAACGAAACGTTCGCTGTAATAGAGAGAAGAAAAAGAAAAAAAAACAGAAGACCAAACCACACGCGCATTGGAGTAAAAGGAAACGAGCATCTCTCTTGGACACTCGGAACTTGATCGAGAAAAAAAGACCGGATACGGACGGTTGTCGAAAATCGAATTTTTTTACACGAAAGTAAAAGAAAACTGGAGAAGAAACCAGAGGCGGTCCAAGTAATTGGAAATCATCAGGGAACAAAAACAAGTCGGTGAAAAGAAACAAAAGAGGAAAAAAAAAAGAAAAAGTCGTTTCAACGACGATTTACCTACGAAACGTTCGTTTTCTTCGTTTCTTCGACTGGCAATCGCGGACTGAATAGTGCGGAAATGAATGGTAGCGTGCCGAATTTTTTCTTCCCCATGAACATCGTACGTCGACCGCGTTGTTGTTGTTGTTGTCCTTGTTCCCTTCGGAGATACTCGACGAGACTTTTCGTTCCGTGACCGGTTCGTACAAATTTCCCCAACCCGGTCCTTTGACCATTCTACCGTTTTATTTTCACCCCCACAATTACCTCTCTCCGTGTTGCGCTACGTTCCTTTCTTAAACGATTTTTCCGGATTCTGTCCCGAGGTAATTCAACCATATCTATTCCCAACTTTGAACGCGTTGTAACTTTCGACATGATTCAAGAATAATCGAAACGTCTAGAGACCATATATATCGATCCAAAGAAGAAGAAGAAGAAGAAGAAGAAGAAGAAAAAAGAGAACAAACAAAATGGAGAAAAATCGAATTGACATATAACCGTTTGGATGAAAAATTCTGAAACTTCGAATTGTATCCTGAACTTCTCCGTTCCTCTTCAAGGGACCCCTCTTAATTAATCCCTTTGTTCGCCAATTATGAAAAGTAGCCTAACGTCGTCATCTTCGTTGAACGTAAAAGACACGCGCCGAGAAGCCGCCGAGTAGCCAGGCTTTTTTCACCATCTGGGACGAGAGAAGAAAAGATTGCTAAAAGATTCATCGTCAAAGCTACATTTAACGATTGCACTCGCCTCGCGAACCGGAACTCGAAGGACACGATCCAAGGCGAGCCACTGTACGAAATTATTATCCGAAGGAAGACATTCCAAATTGAAATGAAACGTTTTTCCCCCAGCGAGATTCGAATACGAAGAATAGTGGCTGCCAGAGAGAAAAAAAAAAACGAAGGAAAATGAAAAAACGATGGAAGAAAAATCGCATACCTTTGGAATTATTGAAAAAAAAAATGGCCATCTCGAGTTCCTGGTACCGTGCACGCGGGTCGATCATTGATCGTTCTTATTATAACAGTTTTTGCGTTACAGGGCGTTTTTTCCTCGGATTAAGTAGTATGTAAATACACCTTGATATCACAAGCATAAACTGAGAATTTACTGGTAAACTTAAATCAAGTACATAATGCGAAATAGGGTTAGTTTCTATGTATATACCTAAAGCTGGACGAGTGCATACTCCTCGTTCATGCAACCAACGATAATCGTTTTTATCGAACCAATGCTTCTGTTCGTCGTCGGTGTACGCCTGGTAGTTGGTGATCGCCCTTGTACAACCCTCGTTTACCAGTTCCCAAAAAAAGAACCAACCGAGCGAAGAAGAAGAAAGAAAACTGGCTTAATTAAACGCGATGATATTGAAATATATGTGAAGAGAAGGGTTTGAGCAAGAACGTTCTCCAAAATGGGCGTCGCTGATCGGGAAATTTTTTTTTCTCGACACTGATACACAAACTACACAATTACACAGACACGCTCACATACACACAGCATTGCGATGGATTGTACAGCTACGATAGGATAGATAAGTAAGCCTAAAAAAAAAAAAAACACAATTCTTCACACACTCGCACCACCGGCACCGACTAGCCTCCAAATTAAGACAGGGACCAAACGTTTGGCGAACACAATTTTTCCGAGATTTTTCTGGAGGTATACGTAAGGAGATCGCGAGAATTGTTTCTTCTGGAGAATGTTCACGTTTTCGGCGCGAACGATTCGTTTGTTTCGGTAAAGGGTGCGGCGCGATTATCGAGACTCGAGATTCGCGGCATAAGCTTTGGATACCAAGTAAAACTGTCAAAGGGTCACAGATGAATTTCATTAGGCAGAACGCGGTTGAAATTTCACCGGAGGAAAAGGTGTCTTTGAATGGGAGAACGAATGTGCGTGAGTATCTGTGAGATTAGGCAAAAGATCAGGTGTATTCGGTAATACGCGTACCGCACGCGCGAAATGAAAAAAGAAAATCCCTCCCCCCAAGAAGAAACGAACAAAAGCAAAAATATCAAACGTCGAAGTAGCGATTGAAGGAAGAAATTAACGATGAAAAATTGCTCCGAAGGAGAAGAAATACGAAACTTCACGCTGCAAATGATCTTTCCAAAACAAACGAAGTGGCAAAAGATAATGTTTCTACGGTCCCTCGACAAATCAAGCAAAAAGTAATAAAACGTATAAAAAAAAAATCATCCAAAAAAATAAAAGTATAAAAGTAATGGTGCACGAAAGTAGGAGCGGAGGAGATGATACGAAGAGATTTTAAAAAAGCAACAGCATCACCACTTTTCACCATCACTATCGCCATTTATCAGCAAATTATAGCAGAGAAAGGAAAAAAGGAAAAGCAAAAAAGTTAACAACAACAACGATACAATTAAACACAACCACCAGCACAAACGTCGAGATCCTTCATGATCTGTGGTGACCCAGAGAGGTTTTGTACACTTCGCTAAGCACCGACGGTCATGAAACGATTCCGTGACGACAAGCTTTTCACCGGTGCATCCTGCCGTGCGCCGAGGGTTGCTTTTTTATTGAACGTGTAAAAGTATTAAGAGAAGAAAGAAAAACGAAGAACGGAAAGCAAGGCAAGAGCAGAGTGAAAAACGATCCAAAATCGGT